GTACTTTAAAGCATATAAATAAGTTACCCGGGCAATTGATTTACATTAGCCAATCAGACGAACTTCTGTCTATGAAGATGCACGTACGTACATACCTAATCAGGAATAAATATGTATTTCATTAATTAAAACGGCGTACAACGACCAATCTTGACATTCGTATTTAATCGCGCCGTCTACCACATGGTATTGTAATTTCTGCTCTACTTCTCTACGATAAAATGAAATTTTATTCAATTCTCTTCTCACTCATCGTTATCATATCTCTAGCTTCGGCTTACCCGTATGCTGATAATAATGGAGAACCTCCACCTTCTACTAAACCAAGACCACCTGCTATAGCTATTGATAAATAAACGTGTCGAGAACAGAAACATTTATCCAGAAGAATATTTAATAAAAATATATTCTTCACTTGAATAATCAATTAACATAAATATTAAAAAATATATTTCTAAAAGAAAACTCGACACTTATTTTATCTACATAAAATATTTCAAGTCAATCAACTCGTTACCTTGATTACTCAATTATACGTCCATTTACGCGGTTAAAGAATTATATTATCTATATGTAAAGATTTTTTCAATCATAAAATGTTTATTATATTGTAATATTTTGATATTTAAATAATTTAATTTATACATATAAATTTAATATCCCTTTAGCCCTTTTTATTGTTATTTACCAAAAGAATCTATCTTTAAACATTTTAGTACCAATGTAATTCTTTTTCCAAGAAAATGTTTCTAATGTTTCTATTTATATAAATAATGCTTCGAATATAAAATAAAGTTTATTTATCGAGTGTATTATGATTATTTAATTAAGGCTGTTTACTGATAACAAAATTTGTTCTTTGGTACTTGATTTACAATGTTACAGACTTCTTATTTTAAAGTTCGAAATAAAGGTTTTTTAATAGTAATATTAAAAAATATGAATTTATTGTATATGTTTTGTGTCATTGTTCGATTTTATCAAGACCTAGAAAGTATATACTATAATAATAGTTTTGGGCTTAAATAAATTCAAGATTTATAAAATTTCAAAAATAGAAGTGGAACCCAATTTTTTGGATTATCGGATAACTCAAATTTTAATAAATATTCAAATAAAATTTTGATTAAATTGAATTATCGGGTGTTACTCTCGTAACTTTATGATTTATTAATTTCAACCACGATATGATGTACTTTTATCCACTTTTTATTATCTGTACGTACGTACGTTGTAAAATAGATAAGCGATATACAGATTCTAAATTGCCTGCTAGCTAGATTATCTGGGTTACGATTTTTGATAGATTCATTTGCTAGTTAATTAAATTTTAATAAACAAAAAATATAGTATTATAAATATTTTTTCTCAATTAGGCGGCCTCGACAGTATCATTTATTTTATAGGAAGAAGTTTGTTTGATTTGCTGATGTAAATCAATTGCCCGAGTAACTTATTTATTTGTTTTAAGTACTTTTTGAGAACGTGATGCTTCACTAACAAAAATTCACCGCAAACATCATTAATAGCTTTAGAAGAGCATCTTCGTTCACTGTGCAAAAGAATTTCCAAAAAATCCCAAAACCAAAAAATTTTACTTAGGAGACAAAATATACCTACCGCTTATTGGACCATATCAAACTTTACTGTGAAATGAAACGTTTTATTCAAGATTGCCTTATTATGTTAGATTTAAATAAACCTTATTACTAACTATTGGTTAGTTTGAATGGGAATAGGCTTATAATAAAGGAAAGTTCAGGTTGAATACTTAAGTATATTCGGTTCTCGCAATGTGTTTGGGTTTGTCAATTATAATAAGTTTCGGTTTATTGTATTAATAAGTTTTGAGTTTATTAATAATAAATACCGCTCTTATCCTATTTTACGTGTGTTTATCTATTCTTTACATGTATGAGATTAACTAATTATTTATATTTATTAATTGAATAAATGTTCTTGTAACAGCCTGTGACATGTAACACCCTCGTATTAGCCAATAGTAGTTAGAGTTAGGGTTTGAGTTACACGAATTTTTAGTTGTTTTTATTGGTTGTACTAATTAGGCTGTTACAAATACGCGTGTTACAGGATGTAACAAATACATTCACCCTTATTAATTTATAAGCTTCTTTATATGAAGTATTTGTTTCGGATCTTGTATCTAATATATAGTATTAAAATGATAAATATTTTAATAATTACAGTCAGACCTCTGTATAATCACAAGTTGGTCGCGCTTTAATGTGGTGATTGTATAGAGGTGTGACTATAAACAAATATCAGATCTTCCCCAGTACGCCAACAAAATTTTTACCATCACGTGATGTCCGACAAAATTCTTTAAGTTCATTTATGTTAGGGTGAGGGCCTATT